ACCAGACCGGTCATCGAACCGGTGAGGGTATTGGGTCACTGGTTTATCGGTCGAACCACTGGGTCACTGGTCGAACCGCATGCCTAAACCGGATAACTCGATTGAATAGACATGTCATTATATAGATATAAAACCGGTCGAACCGGATGATTCAGTTTCTTAAAAAATATAACTAGTACTTAAATTTTTTGAAAATATCATATCATAAATTCACAAGTTCATAATTTAAATTCAAATTTTAAACAAATGTATCACACATAACCAAATAATACAAAATTACAAAATCTAATTGTAAACAAAGTCTAATTGCAACAGTTTCCCCATCAATAATATCATTTATTGATTATTATGAAATAAGAGGTAACTATTTGTAAGTAAAATATGATTCTCCTAAAAAGAAAACCAAAAGTTTATGCTATTTCACTTTCCCTTTCAACAAAATACATGTCTTTTTCTATTGTTAATATTTTGACACTTAATATAATTAATTATAAATTATAATTAATTAAAATTATTAGCAGTGACAAAATATAAAAAGATAAAATATATAACAATCTAAAAAAGTTAAAATAATAAGGTAACTAATTTGTTACTAACCACAAAGTTACAAACTATTTAGGAAAATGTATTAGCAAAAATAACAAATAGCCAATAAAGTCTGTAATTTGTCACTAACGAAAAAAATTTATGTGAGAATGCTATTTAAGTAATACACTACTAAGTATATTAAAAAAAAACAAAAAAAAAACAATTAAACCGCCGGATTTCCCGTTTTGCATCGGTTCAATGGCGAAACCGATCCGCCAATTGAATCAGACCGACTAGTGTTTCGGTTCCCTGTCCGACCGGTCGGTCCCAAGTTTTCTCGGTTATAGTTTCTCCCTTGGTTTTTACTATTCTTCTTCTGAAGAAATTCTCTACCAACCAAGTAAGTTTTTTAACCTCTGCTCTTCCCCAAAAACTCAATAACAACTCAGCGGTAACATGCATTTTTATCCCTTGATTTCTGAAAAATCCATTGTACTCCTCTGAAAATTTCTTAAGGCATTCATAACGCCTTAAACTCAAATCTCATAGCTCTTCCTTGTCATGAAATCCTCCACTAGTTAACGATGAATGAATAATAACATTTGAACCTTCTAAAATACATAGACCACATATTTTAGACCCTTTAGCAATAATCAATTCATCACGCGAAATCCTCAACACTCAACGTTCAACTCTAGTACAATAGCCTAAATCATCAAACATACTTATAGATAAAAAATTTCGCTTGAGTTCTGGAACGTACCTCACATTGTGAATAAGAAGTTCAGGATCATTAAACATTTTAAATCTGACCGTATCAATACCATGAACCTTGCATGCCTTATTATTACCAAGGCGAACTACTCCACCTTGCACCATCTTCAAAGTTTCAAAGTATTATATTCTTTGACACATGTAATAAGAGCAACCTGATTCAATGACCCAATTATCTTTAGTTTCTAAACTCGATACTACTAGTGCTTCGGCATCCTCATAACTTTCCTCTCCCAATGCAGCTACAGCTTGAACAGAATCTTGACAGGCCTTTCTTTCAAGACAATCCCTTTTAAAGTGACCGATTTTCTGATAATTAAAATATTTTACCTTTGACTTATCAGACCTCTTTGATTTGGACATCCCTTTATGCTCACCTCCTCCTCTTGACACATTTAAGCGTTCACCAGTATCTTCAATCTTGAAATCTTTTAACTTTGAAAATTCTTTGGATTTCACCGCTGTCTGGACTTCATCCAAAGTAACAGTACCTTCCTTACCATAAATAAGGGCATCCTTAAAATGTTCAAAGGATCTAGATAATGAACTCAACAAGAGCAAAGCCTTGTCCTCATCATCAATCTTTACTTCAATATTCTCAAAATCATCAATAATCTTGTGAAATTCTGTGAGCTGCTCACTACGGATTTGTTCTCCACCATTCAGAATGAATAGAGTTGTTGTTTCAGATACAACCTGTGAGTCAAAGACTTTGTCATATACAATTATTCAAGTTTTGTCCACATAGCAACCGCAATTTACTCCTTGGCAACTTCTCTTAGAACTTTATCCCCGAGGCACAGGATAATGGCACTTCTTGCCTTATCCACCATCTCGGTCTTCTGTACCTTTGTAAGCCTGCAGGCATCAATGCTTCATTCTTCAAAGCATCGATACACTTCTCTTGAATTAAATGTGCTTGCATCTTAATTTTCCACAACCCGAAGTCGTTGTTATCGGAAAATATCTCGATCTACCATCTACTAACCATGGTGCTCACTTGTCAACAATATATTTTTGCTTCACGCTCACCGCACCACTTGTCGTGAATCTTGTTGTGAGTTACGACAAAATTCAATATCAATTTGTGAGACAAAGAACAATAGCAACTAAAATAAATGGTCTTCAGCAATAATAATCCGTACGCAGATAATATAACAGAATAAGGTAAGAAAAAACCGAAGATTTGTTTACCCAGTTCAATCAAACGATCTAGTCTAGGGGAGATAGCAGCTCTCCAATTCACTATACTCATAAAGTTGTTACAAGAGATTACATATGAGTTACAAGAAAATAGTCTTCGCCTTCAGCTTCCCAAGAACAACCTTGAAGGCGCCCAAGAACAACCATATTTTCTACCCAAGTGTTTCTTAACCTTTTCAACTCTTAATATATGAGTCACTCAAACCCAAGGTGTAATCCAAGGTTTTTTTTTGTGCATAGCTGAAATCCTTTGTTATACCCTTAAATCCTTGGTCTCCCTTGTTGGTGAAAATTCTAAGATTGTCAAACACCAAACATATAAGAGATACATATTTATAATAGCAAATACCCAACAAACAAAGCCTAAAATCACATGGATCCATGGACCGAATCGGAAAAAATTTGAAAACGCGAAAACATTATTCACTGTAAGGACAACACTATTTACCGTACGGATGGACTATTCATCCGTACGGGCGGTACTATTCATCCGTATGGCCGATACTATTCACCAACCGATTTTTTTTCCCCAACTTTTCGTTCGATTTTCGCAGTAAATGCACTCTCCAAAATATGTTTTCTTTATCTTCATTAACAAAGATTTTAAGACACATTTACAACATATGTGTTGTTAAAACTTTTGGATCTAAATCTTGAATGTTTAACTTATTGAAATTTTTGTGATCCCTCAATAAAGTTAATGTACTCATTTCCAATGCATTAAGTAATTATTAAGTAAAAAAGTTTGTACTGAATTTTCAACTTGATGTTGTAAGTAATTTTAACTTGAGCTATGCAATTTTTTTATAAATCTAAAATCATTGAATTTCTAATATTCAAATCTAAATTGCATATGGATATGTTAAGATGTAATTCTGATTTGATTTTGCATATGCAAATAAATGAGCTTGGATATGCGAGATGAATTTGAAGAAGAACATAAGTTTTGTTTGTGCTCGCTTATTCGATGGTGAATTTATAAATAATGTTAATGTATTGTAGTTATTTTAAGTTTGGTTTAAGCTTTTTAAAAGTCTAGTTTAATGTTATAGTTTATTTAAAAGTTTGTTTTACATTAAACTATTTAAACAATTCATTCAAATTATTTTTAAGAAGGTCTAAATAGGCTTTTATATATTATTAGACCAATTTCTAATACAAATGATTAAAAAATATAACAAAATATTTTAAGTATGCAAATTTCTCATCAACATTAAAGAAAAATACATATAAGTTATTGGATAAAGTGTTAAATAACAAATTTTTGCTTTTGATTTTTTTTTCTTTAAATAATATTCATAACGGAACCAACCTCCACCAGATATGAAAATTTTGATAAATTCTTCATTCAGTTTAGAGTAAATTTCATTAATAATTCTATCTCCGATAGTGAATAAAAACACTTATACAATAGAGATTAAATTAGAAGAAAACATTACCAACACCGAACACATGAAATGCATTTAAGGCGCGAGTTCCCAATAAAATCGATGTTACATCAAGATATTAGGAAACATTTCCTTTGATCTTAAGTTCTTCTCCATTAAAATTATGGCATGTGTTTTGTTTCATCACAAAAGGAGGCATGGATAACCATGGCATGTAGAACATAGTAACTAGAAATGGCAATGAAAAGGTACACTATAGTATCCATCAGTATACACGTATTTGAAAAAAATCCCTCTACTCAAATTCTCATACATGTATTTGTTATTTGCATTAAAAATGGATCAATTATAAAATATTACTATTTTAATTTTTTGAGATTTTTGCAATTTTTTATGATTCATCGTCTTACCATAGAATTTGTTAGAATTTGAATAATTCATTGATGAATTCTCTTATGAGAATCTTGTTCAATATTTTCTTAACCTTTAAGCACCAAATTATCAACAAAATAAATATAGAACAAATTTAAACCAATTCCTCTCCCCCAAAATTGTTGAGTACACCCTGCAATTCTATTTATAAGTAAATAAAAACAAATGTTTTTTATAAACGAGACCAAAGGTATTATTAAAGTTACCGAATCATCGATACCACGTCCAAGTCTTTCACGAACAAGGAAAAAAATAAGGAAAAATTAGATAACCTTATTTATGTCCATTGAAAAACTTGATTTAATTAAATTGATTCATTGACTCACCAACTAAGATGCATTCACCATCTTCATTCATAGCATTCGATATATAAATGTCTAAAAATCTGTTTTGAATGCAATTGTTTAATAATTGCACTCATTGCAATCATTGATTTATTCATAAGAATTCATTGCAATCAGAAATTATGTGTCATTTCAATATATTTTGCAATCACATATATCAAAAGAGGGTTTCCATTGAACATATCCACTAGAATGACAGAACTCAACAACCGATAACAAAATAAATAGAGTACAGAAAAACATAAAACTCCAAATTAAGTCCCGCATTCATAATTAACATTCAAAGTCAAAACTCCTTCGAACAAATCAAAAAAGAAATTTCTAACATTGCTTAATTCTTTGCTGCTTGCTTTTCTTTTGTCTTCTGTATCTTCAAAACTTTCTTAACAATTTTTTGCTCCTCAACAAGGAAAGCACGAATAATCCTGTACAAATATTGAAAAGCAATCAAGTTTACTACAAACATTCTAAATTTTGAACATGAATTTCAAAACTATGTTGTGAAAAATACCTTTCCCTAACAGCTCCTCCAGATAAAACACCTCCATATGCTCTGTTAACTGTTCGGCGGTTGCGGGACAATCTAGACCTTTTATATTCAGTGGGTCTCAAATGTGGAATCTGAATATTAACTTGGATTAGAACAATCATCATAAAAGAAGAACATACAATGGTCATCCTCACTCTTAAATAATGAATGAAAGATACATATATAAAACATAAAATCAAGTTTAAACATTAAATGATAGAGTTGAATAAAAAAGTGATGTGTAAGGTACATGAAATGTGTAAATGTTCATGTTTATACATTCAAAAATAGGAGAAAATGCAGGAAAATTCTTTAATCTTGCATTACATTCGCATGTTCCTTAACCAATGCTGTCAGATTGCATTATAGAAAGGGAAAATCTTAGGGACAGTGAAAATCATAGGGACGTTGGGCGAGTCTAGGGACAGATCTAAGGAACGGTAGGCAAATCTTAGGGACTATAGACAAATATAATGTACACATCTTAGAGACTGTGGGCAAACCATAGGGACGATGGGCAAATCTTGGGAACAGTTCGCAAATCTATGGGGCAGTAGGAAAATCCTAGGGACGGTGCTATACCTGTTGTTCTTGCTGTTCTAGAAAAATAATAATAACCGTAAACAATTACATTGGAAGTGAAATTTATATTTGTTCTAGAAAAATAATAATAACCGTAAACAATTACATTGGAAGTGAAATTTATATTTAAATAAAAAAAACTGCATCTTGGTAAGAGTAAGATCAACAAGAAAACAGTGTCAATAACACTACATCTAAACACTAAATCTAAACCTCATCCTTACAGAATTAAGGATTCTGTGTCAGTGTCAAAAGTGATAGTAAAAATACTTCTTATAATCACCGTATTAACAATGGACATAAATTAGTAGATTTGATTATTGAATTGTTACAGTTAACCCAATAATAATAGCAGAATTACAGCAGCTAACAAAAATAAGCTCAGTATCCAATTAACATTAATCACAATACAAAACAATGAAATTTTCAATTAAAAATCACATCTAATTCATACAACTCGTTAAATTGACCAAACATATCATTCACCAAATACCTCAAATGAAAACATACATTTTTTACAAACACATAGAGGAACTTAACAACCTATACAACAAATCACCGATCTAATATTTAACATATCAATTTCCATAAGAAAAAAACCCATAAGAAAAAAACAAAGAAACAAATTATACAGATTCATACCCCTTGGATTCTCTTTCCGGTCACCGGACACTTAGGTCCACTCGCTCTCTTCTTAGTTGTCTGATAAACCAACTTTCCACCTAACAAAAACCCAGTTTCAATTCCCAATCAAAAACAACAACAAAAAAATCAACGATAATCACAACCGAAAAACAACAAATTGTGCGGAGAAGAAAAGCTTTACCAGGAGTCTTCACAACTCGATGTTGGTTGGATTTGGTGGCATAGCTATGCCTCCTTCGGTATGTGAGTCTCTGAACCATGTTGATTTTTGTTGTCTCTGAAACCCTAGAAAACCAAAGAGGCTTGAAAACGAGAGTGAGAGAGTATAAATGATGGGTGGATATTCTCAAAACCCTATTTTGCTTAATCTGTAATTGGGCTTTTTTTTATTTCTAGCCCAAATCAAAACCTACGTTATTTCTAAAATAAAAATGTGTTTTCGGTAAAAATGTTAAATTTTTTAGAGTCAATTAGATTAATTAATATTGTATGGATCTGGTAAAATAAATTATTGAACAGATTGATTTTCATTTACTTTATGACAATAATAATATTCAATAATAAAGAACATATATGTTGTAAAAGTGTTATAATTATTTACTTTTTAACATATGTGAGTTATTAGAGGTAAAATTATATTTAATTTCCTATTTATTTGGTTTTAATTCTTTGATTTTGTTTCTATATTAACTTATTGGATTATCGGATGGATGATCCAAACAGATGATGTAATCTTTTGCTTCGTGGATTGCTTCTTTACACAACAATAATAATAATAATAATATAATTTCAAAAAATAATTTGATGTCAAAATAAGTTATACGGAATAATAAAAGAGTTTTCTATTTATAGAATTGTTGGATTATGACATAATTTACGGAGTTAGATATTTCTTTGAAAATGGAATAATGAATTTTTCTTATAACTGTCTTTAAAATAGGCGGTGGTACTTATCTTGTTTGACTACGCTACATGTTGCTTGGAACGATGTGAATATGTTGATGCTTATAGGTATTTGACTAATACAAGAGTTAATTTACATGGCTGGTCTTATAGATAGATTTGTACAAGGTACCATCATGGTATGCTAGATCAGCATCTCAAGTATTGTGGTTGTATACCTTACTATAAAGTGTTTTCTAAATTATGAGTTATGAAATTTCGTAGTGGGTGGTCCATGATATATTGGAGTTGGGATGATTATGCTCATACAAATGCAAAATTTCTGAAAACCCTTACTTATATTAATGTTTAATAGGTCTAAAAATCATTTAATTGTAAAAAAGTTTTAAATAGATTAAGATGACACTCTCAAAAATTAAGGTATAGTATTTGTGTGATATTATGTGTCTCTCGAAACTAACATCTCGTTTCGCCCATGAGGTGGATGAAAGTTTAGATTGTGCTAGATTACCAGTTCATTATTTACATGTGTCAGTGAGTTGTGTGTGTTAATTCATGTGATTGGTTTAAAGATGTGAGTGGCATAAGGTAGTTATTGTTACGAATTCATGTGTTATCATTTAATCACAATGAGTGATTATGGTTTGCTGGTAACATGTTGATGAAGTTTTGCCACCATTAGTTTGTATTTGTTTTCCATTTTGTTCCCTACATTTCATGGTTTCACGCAATTCTTTTGAACTAACAAGTATTTCCCAATTTATAATTTTATATCATCATGCACCTCAATTTTCTCTTTGTTTTTTTTCTGGTACATGTAGTTTTTGTCTCTCTATTCCCATTTTTATTATTTTATAATGTCAACCACATCATAGTTGAACCTGTTGATTCTAAGAGATCCATTTTGTTTATGATCCTTTAGTTTAGCTTATGTTCTCTAAGGATTAGATAAGAGTCACATCAACTTCTTTATAGGATACATGTGATATATGATTAGGTCATTTGTCCTTTTCTATAATCCTAACACAACAAATTCTGATGTGGATATTTTGAAGTGTGACTAGGAAGAAAATAGTACCGGAGATGAGTATTTCATGGGTTGGAATAAGACTTTTGTTAGAAAGTTTGCTTTGGATCATTCTACTATTTGGTTTGAATTCCATCCTAAGCTTCATGTTGCTCCATGTATTAAGTGTGATATGATTTGCTTCAGTAAGAGTAACGAGGAACAGTTGAAGTTATTTTATGTACATGACATTGTTTTTATTATGATTGGTTTTTGTCTCCCTTTGATATATTTGAGTGTGATGTTGGTTTAACGTTGTTTCTTTCTGTTGCGAATTGATGTCGTCAATAAGAGAACAAAGTTATGAGAAAAGATTGAGTTTTTTGAACAAACACAAGAAACCCTATTAGGTTTCACAAATGAAATGAGAAGAAGGAAGAAGAAGAATAGAGAATTGGTTAAATCTCTTTTACTATTCACTTTCTCAATAAGGGTTCAAAGATTACAAGTGAATACCAACAATTAACCTCTCTCAATAATCTGAGAGAACTAGTCTATTTATAGACTACTAAGCTAACTTAGATTACAAGTTAACTTAACAATTGAGCCTACAAGCAAAGCTCAATTTGACATGCTAACAAATCTTAGCATTTCGACTACTGCATGTTTGAGCATACTTCGACCATAGCATACAAGATCAGTATGTGAACAGACTTCAACTTCATACTAAACCTTCTGTCGAATCATGAAGCTACCAGTCGACACTAGAGTTCGATCCAAAATACCACAAATCTCCATCTAAGAACAAACTATACACAAAATAAGGGAACAAACTAGCTTTCATCATGCAGCTTTATCAACTGCATGCAGTAGAAAAACTTGTTACTCGACAATGTCTTGGTGATCATATCAGCAACATTGTCATTGGTCGAAACCTTCAACACTTGGGCTTCTCAATGCTCGATAATTCTTTGACGAAGTGCAGCCTCACATCGATGTATTTGGTTCACTCATGATATGCTGGATTATTTAACGTGTGTATTGCACTTTGCCTATCACATTAAACAGTGATAACTCAACCTTGAAGTTTCAGCTCCTTAGCAAAACCTTCAAGCCACAATGCTTCTTTTACAACTTCAGTGAGGGTAATGTATTCTGCTTCAATGGTTGATAAGGAAACAACCTTCTAAAGTGTCACTTTCCAACTGATTTTTATGTCAAGCATAGTGAACACATATCCAAAAATAGATTTTCTGGAATCCATACAACCTGCATAACCAGATTCGACAAATCCTTTGATTTAGACTTTGCTATCATCACCACAGGCTCCACCATAAATCATGACTCTTCTTAGAGACTCATTGATGTCATAGGAAATGTTTGGCCTCGTACAGACTATAGCATACATCAAAGAACCTACTATACTAGCATATGGGATGCTATTTATGGAGGAAAATTTTGAGATTAAGCTATTGATTAACTTAACTCATAAAATAAAAGTCGTCACCGCACTTTTATTTTATCCAAAGGAAAGGGAAAAAGAGCGAACAAACCTAAAGAAGTTATAAAGCAAGAACTAATAAAAACAGAGACAGGGTAAGGGGGGTTGGTTACGCAATGGGAAGGTGTTAGCATCCAAAACGTTTAAAGTACTCTATATGAACCTCTTTGTAAATCTAGCATTTGGATTAAAAGGTGTTGTTTGCAAAAGATTGGTGAGGTGAGAAAAGAAGTATTTTTTTATAATTTTGTGTTTGACAAGACTTCTTGAGTCTCGTGCCTACGTATCCACAAAGTGCAATGGAGGATCAAAACATCATAGTTCGTGGTAAAAATAACAAAAATGGTTGTTATGGTTCATTTTATATGAAAAGACAAGTTGTCATTTTAAGGAGAAAACTTCAACTAATCACCCACAAGTATGTGAAAATGGACATTTGCATCATCATGAGAAAGACTCCAACTTGGATAAAATCAATAAGTATGCCACTAACTCTCTAAGGTGGAAAAGTGTCAACTTATTTCAAACAATACTATGGGGATAGGAGGATCAAATATCAACTATAAATGACTCATGTCTAAACTTTATGAAAAGTTAAAACGAAAAGTGCACAAGGATACAAAAATGATTTGAATGGGTTTTGTCTTTTTTAAGTATTTTGAAAATGGTATAAGTATGTTTAAAATTGATTAACATTTATTAAGAAAAAGGGTTTGAAAATGCACTTGACAAAGTCAAGGTTTATTATGAAACAGGTTCTAGTTTGAAAGAAGAAGGTTTTAAAAAAGGGAGAAGATTTTGAAAATTTAAGAAAGTGGAGGAGATGAAGAGATTAACCTAAAGCATAAAATAAAAGTTAAGGAAGGAAATATCTAACCAAGATAGCAATTTTTTGACATAACAAGCCAAAACTCTCATCTTTTAGACTTAAGCAACCAAGGTAAGCAATAAGATAAGTAGAGAAAACCAAACAAAGAGATAACCAAACGTCAGATGAAAGCCAAAGATCCAATCCAAGTCTTCAAAAAGGTCTCTCAAGGTTTCAAAGTGCCAAATAAGATCCAAGTTCTTGATATATAACTCCAAAGCATAGGGTAAGGATCCTAATTATAACTCCATCATCCATGAGCAAAGGATAGTCACCAAAAAGTCCAAGAAGCACATTAAGAGTTTATTAATTTGTTTAGGCATGTATTAATGTCTTAAAAGGAAAACAAAGTACCAAATGGGCAATGAGAAAAAGGCATAAACATAAACAAGATGAATAATATTATATGATAATGATAAGCATAAAATAAAGAGCATAAAAATAAAAACATAAAGGAAATAGTATAAAGGTAAATGAGCATATAAATAAAGGCATAAAGTAAAGTTAATACAATTAAAGGTTAGTGTTAATGAAGATATCTTGTCATTTAAAATAGATTACTTAACTAATCAAACTAGTAAGTATGAGATATTTGCATCATTCTTTGAGAATGACTCCAACTTGGATAAAATCAACAAGTATGTGTTGCACCCCAAAATTTGCCCAACCTTTTTCTTTGGTTTATGTTTCATTTTCGCATTTAGCATTTTGCATTGCATAGCATTCAGTCTCAAGGCATGGGATCAAGGCGTCCTGTGGCTCAGGTGCATTTCGGAGCAAGAGATTGAACAGCGAACAGAGAGCATCGGAGCTTCGGCATTTATTTTGCCCAGCAATCGAGTGGTCAATTTTATTCTGTTTTGCAGGTTAATTCCAGATCATAAATCAGCATTCAGGCTCATAACCAGCATTTTCACAGTGACAATGGTCAAAAATGAGGTTCAGTAGTTAAACAGAGCTCCAGACAGTTGAAACAGGGCAA